TTCTTTAGCATTTGGTCTGTGCATGAATCACAGCCGCGCTGATGTTCAAGAAAACAAGTCAAGTCTGATATTATACTGTTTAATTAGTTGTAGCTCTAATAATGAAGCTACCATTCACTGACCTGTAGTAGAGTCCACTTTGATTCTGCAGGCTCTCCTCCACGGCACAGTAAATGGTGGTTTGAGCCCCCTCTGCTGGGGACTTGATGAAGAACATGAGCGGTGTGTACACAACTCTCTTCCACAGGGGCATCGTGGGCCAGAAGTGTCGTCCCAGCTCAGTCCGGATCACTCCAGGGTGAAGGCTGTAAGTATTAACCCCTGTACCTGCAAAAAATACAGGGCAGAGGACAAGATGTTTTTTTTATCTATTCACAGGAGCACAACATGAAGTGGTTATTTCAAATACAGTACACCTATTATTATTTTTTTCAATGCAGCATAATATCTGGTGAGGGTATCGAAGGTTTAAATACCTTGTAGCCTGTTGGACAGCTCCTTTGTAAAGAGAACATTTGCCAGTTTACTTTGTGAATAGCTTTTCCAAGGGCGGTAATCTTTCTCCTGGTGTATGTCATCAAAATAGATTTGACCTGTTGAGTCAGAGCAGTGTGTTCTTATTCAAAGAGTCAGTCTTTAATACTACATGAAAGTGAAAGGACAAAAAAAATCTTCTTTTACTCTTTAATGAAAGCAGGAAAAAAGAGAGAAGTCGGACCTCTTTCATGAGCTAGACTGGAGACATTGACAATGCGGCTCGGGGCTGACTTCTTCAGGAGATCCAACAGGCAGTGCGTTAATAGGAAGTGGCCCAGGTGGTTCACACCGAGCTGCATTTCAAAGCCATCTTCGGTTTGCCATTTTGGACAGCTCATAACACCTGAAAGTCAAAAAAATATGAATTCATTCATCACCTTCCACCTGATTCAGAGCTGCTGGAATACATGATCTGTAACACGATCAGGGCTCAGATGAGATCGATATGTTGACCTGCGTTATTGATGAGAACGTCCAGCCTCTCTTCACTCGCTAGAACGTCTTCAGCTAACTGCCGCACTGATTGGAGAGATGCCAAGTCCAATTTTTTCACAACAACATTGACACTACCGCTCATCTTCTTCACGTCCTCTGCAGCGTTATTAGCTCGGTCCATGTCTCTGCAGGCCAGAATGACCCGGGCGCCTAGAAACACAGCAGCAAATCTTAAACCATTAGGACGAAATTAGATAATTAAAGACTGTAATATCAATCAATCATTATTTGTATAGTGCGAATTCATAACAAGGGTTATCTCGAGTTAAAGCTTTCTATGTGATTTTTCACACTTACATGTAATATAAATCAAGTATATCCTCTGAAAATAACTCTGTGAGTCATGACTGTCTACAATGGGTGTAACACCCGAGTCCCACTGTCTGTGATGTTTTCAGAGTTTTCAGAGTCCTATCTTCACTTTGTTTACATCGCCCGAACAGCCGGCTGACTCCTCCCCTCGAGTATAAAAGTTGTTTAATTGAGGGACTAGAGAAAAGAAGAATAACATACTGTACTCACTGCTTAACTGTGTTTCTAGATCACGCTCATTTCAGGTAAATTTACATGCAGTGTGAAGATACCAGCATAATAAAGATCACTAGCATTAGCATGCCAACACAACAATGCAGCGTGAGTTGTTTTGGTTTCATGCTGGTGCTCAAGGGCGACATCTGCTGGATGCAAAAAATATAACGCATATAAAGCCTTTAACAAAAAATCTAAATAGAAATAAAAGACAGGTCACTAACCTCTTCGAGCCATGTCAACAGCTGTTTCTTTGCCAATCCCCGTGTTTCCTCCTGTGATCAAGACAGTTTTTCCGTCCAGTCGGGCTTTGCTGTGACAAACTCCACCTGCCATCCATTTCTTTGCTCCAAAAAGCCCCACTCCTGTAACAACATGAATGAATGAAAAAAAAACTTTATTGCCCCTAGGGGGAATTTGCCTTGTACAGAGAGCATAAAAAACCCAATACAAACAAACATTTACAGGAGAGCACATAAGAACACATAAAAACACACTAAAGCGTCACATGATTCAATGAGGGATTTCAGCAAGTTAAATAAAGTGCAGAGTGCCGAGTCCGTCCTGTATAATCAGCTCTTATTAAGCAGCTGAATACTGCGCAGTACAAAGGATGTAATGCCTCTTTTAGTCCTCATCCTGGGCATTCTGTACCTGCGCCCTGAATTCAAAGAGTTTACATCCCCACTGTTACAACAAAATCATGTCCTCATGTCATTTAATACGTCTTCATAAATCTACCTGCCCAGGACTTCAAATATTAAAAGGTTTCAACTTTCTGTCTACTGTTTTCATAATGGACTTGTGTTTTCAGTAATGTGTTAAATAACTGCTACCCAAATACTTTCTGTAGTTCTGGATGTAATGAGACAACATGTAGTTGTTTATCATGATGATGTTGTTTTGAATGACTTTGAGCCTTGATTTAAAAAGAACTTTCATTTTTGAAGTCTTAGAAAATCTAGGCAAGTTAATGATATAGTTTTCATTCGTTCTGAATTGTGTTTTTCTTTCATTTTGAAACCGTTATAATAGAATAGAATAGAATAGAATTACTTTATTGATCCCAAACTGGGGAATTATGGCGTTACAGCAGCAGGTTATCCAAACACACAATATGAGCAAATAAACACAATATTATATTAAATACAAAGTAAATAAGCACTAAAATATCAAAACTAAGAATGGGAATATATACAACCAAGATTTAACTTAGCATCATGTTTACATTTATATTATGTATACAGTTATATTTATATTACATATATATATATACATACAGTTTACAGTTATATTATTATAACTGTAAACTGTTCATTCATTCATAAGTAAGTGTATAATGATAATAACTATTAATGTTGTTATTACCTATTCCTTTTTCTGCTGTCATACGTTTGAACAACTTAAAGATCCTCAGTTCAACTATTCCCTTTCAGATGTGATTTTATCCTGATCAGTTTAACTGAAGGTCAAATCAGGTCACACTGCAGCCCTGAATTCATCTTTATTTTTTATTCAGCTATATCTAATCTACTTCTGTTAATCCATCAGTGTTTGTAAACTAACTGGGTTGTTAACAGAGCAGCCGAAAATGCATGTAGAAAACAATCAAAGTAAGTTTATACAACAATAATATTCTGTGTAACTTCAATGAGATCTCGCGAGATTTCTTAGCTTTTGGCTTTCTGATGTCAAAGCTGTTTTGTAATTCTGATGTTAAAGAAAAACAACAACAAAGAGTATCACGTCATTATCAACAAGCCCTGAGTGTATGCTTGAATTTAAAAGGACTAAACTGATTTTTTACATTAAGGCTAAATGCTGCCAGCGCACTTCCGGAAAGATAATGCTGTTAAGTGGCAACATATTGATCACCAGCGTTCAGTGAGTGATCCCGAAAAATCTATTCTTGCAAACGTTGTGCTCACCATTCACCCTTCACCCTTCAAACATTGCATTTTCTTACCTGTAACTGTGACCACAGCAATAGTTTTAGGATAGTGGAAAACAAAGGATCTTATGGCTGTGAAGGTCTGCATCATCCAATCACTCCTTCAAACTGTGATCTCTGTTAAACTCCAAACACAGCGTTTAAAGTGAGGGTCTGTTTGCTAAATCCCTGCTGAAAAATAAATGAACTCATAACACATTCTTCTTCTGCGTGTTGGACTGGCAGACTAGACGCAGCATTGGTGTATTGCTGCCCCCCACAGTCTGAACTCATCAATTATTTACTCCTCATATTCATTGGTAGGCTGCAGGTCTGTTGAATGCAGAAATTACAGCCGTTTTGTTGTTGTTGTTTTTCTCCTGGACTCTTTGAGGCATAAGTTGAATATCCCCCCCCCCACGGTTCATGAGGCCTCTGCACAGTTTCTTTATTTCTTCTGAGAGGAGGCTGCACTCACCATAGACTGTAAATATGAAGGTCCACACCGACACTTCCAATCAAGATGTGTTTTGATCAGGACACACAATGTCCTAATCTCAGCCTCAGCAGCTTAACGTTGTCCCTTCTTCTTTTTTTTGCACAGCTTTTAGGAGCCCAGTGTGCTACAGAGGTGAATATCATACACTGAAAAAACATTTTTAGGTTCATCCAGTGTTTAATTTTTTCCAGTGTATAAATGTCTGTGTTTATGTTCCCTGTCTCCAGGCTTTTTACTTTATCTGCTGCTTCATTCCTCTGAAATTCTAGTATGAGTTAGTAGCCACATAAATCCCACACTGCAACCCAATTAATTAATTAATTAATTCTGGATATTGCCAACATCACTTCTGTCATTATGTCTGGCCTGGCCTTTGATTTACAGTGTTTTACAGTGCTGCAGACTTCTGTAGACTGAGGTCTTTTCTTTTCAACCCACATGAGGGCACAGAGGATGACAAACAGTTCTACTGTAAACACCAGGACACCAGGAAGCCTCCACCCGTTCCCTTTTGTGAGTTCCCTACAAACACTCTGAAGGCTATAGCTCTCCATTGGGGTCTCTGGAGCCATCAGTATAAATTTGCATGCTGTTTCCCCACACTGATGTTCCATGACTGTATTAACTAGATTTAAATAAAAAATAAATACATAAAAATGTATTATTTCCTGCTGTTTGTTCTTTGAGCATATTAAGGAAGTCTGAGTATATGTCAAGGCTCAGGTCACAGCCTCTGAGGAGTGGGAGGCCAGCAGATAGTTGGACTCACTTTCCTCATCAAAATTCCAATCTCATTTACTTTTTCCTTCATGGAGCTCACAAAGCTAAGCTTTTTGGGTTTCCCCTTTGGATTTCCTGCAGTGTTGCTCTATATGACATTTAGTTAGAAAGTCTGGTTTATTTGTTCTTACTTTGACCCCATAATGTAAGGCCAGCTTCCCTCTCTCTGGACAGAGATTCCTTATCATCACCTATATAAAGGAATCCTATACGTTCCTCTTGTAAGTGAGCTTTGACATTTCCGTAGAAAGATCAAACCGGTTGAGCTTGTTCCAAGGGAGGCGCATGATTCACCTTTTTGTTGTGAAATAAAAAGTCTATAATTCAGTTATAAGAAAAAAATTATAACAATCTAGAACTACTGCTTCCATCAGTTACAACTTTCATCAAGTTCCAGATTAGATTCATTATAATGTTCTTTGTGATGCACAAATCCATAGTTTGCTATTGATTCTTACAAAGCCTCCAGCAGAGGTCCCTGTAGGTTCACCAACACAGTCTGGCTGCCTTCTGAAGGAGTCCAGCAGATGGCGCAGGACCTTCATATGAAGTTGGAGATTTTAGGTTTAATCGCTGCTGCTGACAGGCAAGTTCAAGAACACTGGGAAATTACTTTATATGGAACAAATTATATCCTAAACTCCTACGAGCCATTTATGAACCGTTTCTGCTGCTGTTTGAAGATGAAAACCAGCAGCACCAAGTAATAACAGTATCACCCCCTCAGATGTGAATCAAAGTCTGATCAGATCAGCCTGAATCATTAAATCTGTTGATTACTGTGGAGAGTATAAACATAATGTGAGATCATTAAGTCATCCATAGGGTTAAAAAATAATGGAGCAGCCAAACGTTATGAGTCTGGACAAGGACTCAATTTAGAGCTTTGACCTTGGGGTTTACAAGGTGTCATGTGAGAGTGTCTGTTAACAAGGAGGGTTTCCTTGTGTCTGTGGAGGTTGGCAACAAGTGGAATTTCTACATACCACATGTTCAAATGTTGCTGCAGAAAGTCAGAGGATTATGTAATTTCCTCTGTCCACTGTAATAATATGCAATAACCACGTTTTTGCAGGACAGTCTCTAATTGTATAAAGTACAAACTACATGCAGGGACATAAACAGCTGACCTTCACTGACCTTCTCTACAAAGTTTACAAACAAGTCAAGGACTAATAGTTTTCATTCAACTTGTGACGTGTCCTTATAAATTACTTTATTTTACTTACTTGTACATGCAGGCCTCCTATTCTAAAATGATAGAGCACTTAGAGGTGACCGGAGTGTCTCTGTTGCTGGCTCACCACCAAACCTCATGTCATGTGACTGCTCTGCTCACTTCCCATGCTTTCTCCCAGTATGGTTACCTTCCCCCTGCTAAAATTAGAGGGCCCTCTGCCGAGACATTTTGGAATGTGACTATCCAGTACACGCTGTGCTGCAAATGACATTGGGATCACAATAAATTTAATATAAATATTTTTAAAAAACGTTCCCCGAGTTAACTCTTTCGCCACTGCAAGAACCCTTAATAAAACAGAATGACTAAGCTTTGTTTGTCGATTATGGCTGGAAGCAAACATGTTCTGTAAATATTTAATAGGCATTTAAAAAAATATATATATATTTCTGTGTAACATGAACACCTTTCTGCACTTGGCACTTTAAACCTGGTCAAAGTGTGTCATTATGATAACTTCAAATGTTCATCTTGTTAGGACATTACGCCCTATATTCAGTAAATTGTCAGAGTGTAAATAATAAAACCCAAGGTGAATTATTAAAAAAATTAAATGGGGTTTTTAAGTGCAGTAATGCAATCAGAAAATGTCCCATGGAAATGTGTTGCCAACATGTTAACAGAGATTTTTTGGGTTATCCTTTTTACACAACGCGTTACTGAAGCAGCCTACAACTGAAATGACGGCCTTTGTTGAACGGGGGTTGTGAAAGTTAACCAAAAATATTGCCCTGAGCCATGTTTGGAAATGTATGATCCACTGTTCCAGGTGACTGATCCATAAAAACTGCTCACCAGAAGTGTTTGCAATTAGTCCAGATATATCTCCAAGCATTGCTGAGTGGTGTTATTAATGCCCCCTGACCTCATTAAAGTTTACCACATGTAGACTACATGATGTAGGGCTGGGTAGCCAGATGCAATGTCCAATTCACATGACCACTAGATCACCATATTATACAAACATTTCACATCACAAGATTTTGTCATAATGCAAACCACCACCAAGGTCGTTTTGTACAAACCTGATTGATTATCAACATTCCACATCAGCAGCAGAAATCTTGGTTGGAAACAGAAATGCACCATACGAGATAAATGTTTGCTAAAAGCTCCACCAGAACATGGTCTGATAAAAATCTGTCTGAACATGAGGGTCCCAGACGCATCTGCAAGAGCAAATCAGTCTTGTTGCTTTTATGTGTCGTATTTTATTTTTTCATTTTCATACATATCTTTTTAATTCTTATTGGTGTGCATTAGTCTCTCAATGATTTTATAAACTACTTTTTTTGTCAATAACTTTTTCTGCACTCTTGTAAAGCACTTTGAACTGCAATTGAATTTGTCTGAAAGGTGCCGTATAAATAAAGTTTGATTGATTGATTTTGATTTGTTGATTGTTTTGCCCATTCTTTGTCTTCTGTGTGAGACTCAACTCTACATGAGTGAAATAAAGGAAGGCAAAGGTCTAATTAAAACCTTTGAGTGGCCCTTTAAGCTAACTAACCAACATAAAGTGTACAACCTTTTAACTTTGTCTAAAACTACGGAGGCCCTGAAGATTCAATTAACAAAAATAAACAGCCGTTTTGGAAATTGATTCCCCTTTTTGTAGATAGATAGATAGATAGATAGATAAATAGATAGATACTTTATTGATCCGGAGGGGAATTCAAAGCATCCAGTAGCAGGTTACAAAGACATGACATGAAACATTTGTTACAAATTAAACCACAAAACCAACGCCCCCCCTCCCATACATATATATTAACCTGAAAAAAAGATGAACCAAACTTAAACTGTGCAATTAAAAATAGATTTATACAAGAAATGTACATAACCCGTGCAGGGATAAAAATATATGTGTGATTTAAAGCAAGAACCTATAAACAGTTGATGGGAAAAAAAAATCTGTAATTAGACCTGAATATAAAAAATAAATAAATAAAAAAGTGTTGACCTTCTGAAGTTGTGTTGTTTATATATGTACAGCACATACATATTTAAAAAACCAGATAGTGCACAGTTATCAAAAACAGACATTAAATAACAGACTGTAAACTGTGGGAACGGATTTACAAACGCTTTTTAATTTTTTAAACTTGAGCCTTCGAGGTCTCCGTATCAAAGATTTAAAAAAAAAAGTAAGAGGGAACCAATGTCTCAAATTTCATTAAAAAAATTTTTTTTACAGCGTGCTTCTTACGGAACTAATCGAGGGGGATAATCACCGGTATAGGATAATATATAGTATTTATTTTGTTTCTTTTAAAAGGGTGCATGAAACGCGGACCAGGACTTTTACAGCATATATAAATAAGAGGAGAAAGTTCACCCTGATTTGAACCGGTTTGAACCCCGGGGTTGAGCGTAGGTTGCAGCTGCGCGGTTACCTTGTTTCGGTCCCTCCTCCTTTGAGTCTCAGTGACATGACGTAGGTCTCAGCGTGTCCCGCCGGGGAGGGAACAAGGGCGGTGCTGCCACAGCCTGCTCTCTATATTTCACAGAGCCTCGGAGCGCCCTTTCCCTTCCTTTTTCTTTTTTGCTTTTTTCACTTTCGTCGAGTGTCAACCTCAAACATTTGGGAGAGACAATGGCTGGATATCTGAAAGTCCTCAGCTCTCTGTCGAGGTCTGCCGCCGCTGTTTCCAGAAACCCCGCGGTGCTCGCTCCGGCTGCAGGATGCCAGACTTTGTCACAAAGAAACTGTGAGTGTCGAGAGGGTCATCCTCAGCATCTTTATGTTGACGCTTGACTTGCAGCTTCTGTGTTTTAGATATCTCATTTTTAATGTAAACTCAAGATTAATTATAAATGGTAGTGAGCCACAGAATTAGGACATCCGCTAGAAGCCGGGTTGCGCCGAGCTTTTCGCTGCCATGCGCCGGAGGGAGGGGGGGAGAGATGTCTTTGTCTTCCCCATCCAAAGTTAGAAATCAGTTTATGACATTGTAAAAACATTGATAGGAATCCTGCACTGCAAATGCAAACGAGACTTCTCGAGATTTCACCCGAACAAAATTAAAAAGGAGTGCAACCATGAAGGAGAACATTTCGGGGGGGGGCAGCAGATGAATCAAATCTTCCCTTTTTATGGCGTCATGTCTGTGCAGAAATGGTGATAAATACACAGTCATTCGTCATTGTTATAACCCATGTGAATGTTAAAATGTCTAAAAAATTACCCTGCCGTCATTTTTGATAATGCAAAAGTGAGTTGGGGAAAAGTTTTCCTCCGGTCAGCCGACACCGTGCATACGAGTCTCCGCTATATGGAGCAATGGCTGCCGCTGCAACAGCTCGGTTAGTCCCGGGTCATGTTTTTTATTTTTTCCCCCAATCTGGTTTTGCAAATACCGTCACAGTCTACCACTTCTGACCTTTTTTACATAACGAGCTTTAAATAGCTCAATCAGACATTTTCTGTTTTTCCCTTTTTTTTTTTAAACCAGTGTCAGGGTTGCAGCCAAAGTCTAAATATTTGTTTGTGTTATTTGGAGGAAGGGATCAAGATGTGTATCACGTGATTTCTCTGCAGTCATCCCAAATTTCACACAGCAGGATCTCTGCTCTGCTCTGCTGTGTTGTAGGTGTTGTGCCTGTCTTCTGTGCAACCACACACACCAAGCACCAGTTAGTGTTTAGAAAGCAGTGTGGGTCAGTTGAAGGGCACTGTGGCTTGTTGAGTGTGATTGAATCAACATGTTGTTTAAACTCAGTGCTGTCAATGGTAAATGATAGTATGCACACAAGAATGTCTTAGGTACACAAAACATCTCCACACAAAACAAGTAGTCTCACAGACGCATTGTCTCTGCCTTTTAATCCAATCTGAAGTTATGAGTGTTTAAAACAAGGTGACGATAAGATGACGCCCGATGATCTTTGACCCACTTCTTCAGTTTAATACTGCTGTCACAAGCTGCACTGTCTTTTGCTTGCCCGGTGCATTTACATCCTGGCTGTGGATTTTTTTACAGAGGGACGGTCTGCTTGCCGCCTCAAGTGCAAACTTCACGCTGTAAACTTTAAAAGTCCTGAGTTCCTCTTTTGTGTCCGTATTTCAAGCGCCGTTTTTTGACAGTTAAAGCGACCTCCTCACACCACCGCCTGAAGTCTTTGGTTGTAGTCAGTTTGTCTACATTAAGGTAGAGCGTGAGGGCTTGCCTCTATTTGTTGAAAGGTAACCATGGAGGAGACATATTGACAGAGGTTATACCGGTCATTGGAGACACTTGTTTGGCTGCTTGCCATAAATGCACACAGAACCAGTAGAGTTGAGCTCACAGCAGCAGAAAACACTTTTTAAGTTCTCGTGTTTGTTTTAAATGTAATTTTCTCCAGACATGGTTAATAGGACTGCAAAATGCAAGGTTGCACTTCATGCGCTGTTCTTGTTTACATATTCTGTTCTTTCATTAGATATTTCCTGATTTTTAAATCCCATTTCACTGTTGTTGATTTTACATTCCTAAAGCTTTTGAATGTTTAGTCGACGAGACACTAAACTGAGGCTTGTGAGTCGTGGTCATGAATACAATACTCAATTCAAAGTATTGTTTTGTCGTCGACTTATCCAAGGTGCTGAAACCACCGTGTTGCATTGGTAGCGTTGTGAATGGTGGCATCATTTTTCAAAGCTTCTTAAAAAGAAAGTAACGGTTTGTTTAAATGTCAGTTTTGCTTTCACTTTTGATTCTTACTCAAAATGCACACAGATGTTATTTACAGACCCATAATAAGCTATGAATCAAAGACAGTCTGGTTTGTATTATTTCATTCTTGGTTGTAAGTAAATATATCTCTGCTGGTGTGGCCGGCTTCTTTCTGCAGACCCCATATATACACCGAGCATGTGCGGAAGATGTGGGCAGGCAGGCCCGCGTGACGTTAGTTTCAGCTCGCCCTTCAGTGTCCAGCTTCTGTTGATACATTCAGATGTTATGTAACATGCTCGGCTCCCTCCTGCACGCCCCCCACCGCTGTGATAGTAGAGCCCTATTTGAGCAGATTTAGGTTGGACGAGTCTGAAATGATGCCAAACAGTAGGCTGTTAATGACGTACCCATGATGCACTGCTGCAG